GGCCTCCCAGTGCAGTCCCAGTGCCCCCCAGTGCTAACCCCGTGTGACCCAATGCCAGCCCAGTTCCATCCCAGTCCCATCCCAATCTCATCCCAGTCTCACCCCAGTCCCATCCCAGTCCCATCCCAATCTCTTCCCAGTCCCATCCCCTTCCCATTCCCATCCCAGTCGCATCCCAGTTCCCTCCCATTCCCAGTCCCATCCCAGTCCCATCCCCTTCCCAGTCCCATCCCATTCCCATCCCAGTCCCATCCCATTCCCATCCCAGTTCCACCCCACTCCCATCCCAGTTCCATCCCAGTCCCACTCTCATCCCAGTTCCCTCCCAGTCCTGTCCCATTCCAATCCCAGTCCCACCCCCTTCCCAGTCCTGTCCCAGTTCCACCCCAGTCTGTCCCAGTCCCATTCCAGTCTCATCCCAGTCCCATCCCAGTCCCGTCCCAGTTCCCTCCCAGTCCCACCCCAGTGCTCCCTGTATCTCCCAGTTCCCTCCCAGTAACCCCCAGTTCCTTCCCAGTCCCATCCCAGTCCTCCCAGTACCCCCCCCACAAAGGCCACCCCACCCCCGGGTGACACTCCAGATCCTTTATTGCCGCCCTCCCGGCGCTAACGAGCTCCCCCAAGGTGGTGGCCACCAGGCGCCTTCGTTAGGCCCCAACGAGGCGGCCGCCATCACGGACCATGGCGTGGAGATGCCACCAACCACCCACCCCGTCCCCTGAGCCCCCAAAGTGTCCCCAGGGCCATCTCCAAGGGTCCTACAGCCACACACCAGGTTCAACCACAGCCTGGTGGCACCACATTGTGCTCCCAACCTCCTTTGCTAGGTCCTGATGGTGACACCATGACAATGGACCATGGTATGGTGCCCATCTCTTCCTGGTGAGCACCCACCATCCACCTCTGAACCTCCTACGGGCCACAAACCAGGTTCAACCACAGCCTGGTGGCACCATCTTGTGCTCCTGAGCCCCTTCGTTAGGTCCTGATGGTGACACCATGACGATGGACCATGGTATGGAGATGCTGGTGCCCATCTCTTCCTGGTGAGCGCCCACCGTCCACCTCCGAGCCTCCTACGGGCCACACACCAGGTTCAACCACAGCCTGGTGGCACCACATTGTGCTCCCAACCTCCTTTGCTAGGTCCTGATGGTGACACCATGACAATGGACCATGGTATGGTGCCCATCTCTTCCTGGTGAGCACCCACCATCCACCTCTGAACCTCCTACGGGCCACAAACCAGGTTCAACCACAGCCTGGTGGCACCATCTTGTGCTCCTGAGCCCCTTCGTTAGGTCCTGATGGTGACACCATGACGATGGACCATGGTATGGAGATGCTGGTGCCCATCTCTTCCTGGTGAGCGCCCACCGTCCATCTCTGAACCTCCTACAGGCCACAAACCAGGTTCAACCACAGCGTGGTGGCACCACGTCATGCTCCCAACCTCCTTCACTGGGTCCTGGTGGTGACACCACGACGATGGAGCCCACCACGGAGATGCCGGTGCCCATCTCTTCCTGGCGAGAGCCCCCCCAAGCCCCGCTACGGGCCGCAGGCCGGGTCCCCGTCGGGGTGGACCTTCAGGTGGCGGGTGAACTGGGGCTTGTAGCGGAAGCGCTTGCCGCAGCGGCCGCAGCCATAGGGCTTCTCCCCGGTGTGGATGCGCTGGTGCTTGACCAGGTTGGAGCTGACGCAGAAGCTCTTGCCGCAGGCCCCGCAGCGGAAAGGTCTCTCCCCGGTGTGGGTCCTCTGGTGCTCGATGAGGGTGGAGCTCTGCCCGAAGCTCTTCCCGCACTCCCCGCAGCGGTAGGGCCTCTCCCCGGTGTGGGTCCTCTGGTGGGAGGCCAGGTGGGTCTTCTTCTTGAAGCGCTTGCCGCACTGGCCGCAGGAGAAGGGCTTCTCCCCGGTGTGGGTCCTCTCGTGCTTGACCAGGTTGGAGCTGAGGCTGAAGGTCTTGCCGCAGCGGCCGCAGCCGTAGGGCTTCTCCCCGGTGTGGGTCCGGAGGTGCTTGACCAGGTTGGAGGTCCGGCCGAAGGTCTTGCCGCACTCGGGGCAGGCGTAAGGGGTCTCGCCCGTGTGGGTCCGGCGGTGCTCGGTCAAGGTGGAGCTCCTGCTGAAGGCGCGGGCGCAGACGGGGCAGGCGTAGGGCTTCTCCCCGGTGTGGGTCCGGAGGTGCTCGGCCAAGGTGGAGCTCCTGCTGAAGCTCTTCTGGCACTGGCCGCAGGTGAAGGGCCTCTCCCCGGTGTGGGTCCGCTGGTGCTCGATGAGGTTGGAGCTCTGCCCGAAGGTCTTGCCGCACTCGGTGCAGCGGTAGGGCTTGGGGGGCCTCCCGCCCCCCTCCAGCAGGCCCAGCAGGTTGATGAAGCCCCGGGGGCGACCACCGCCGCGGGCCGGCGCCGTCCCACCTGGGAGAGGGGAGAGGAACATCTTTGGGTCACCATGGAGGGATGTTCCTCAAGGATGAACATCTCCTGGGGGTCATTGTGGAACCACAGAGTGACGTTCCTTGAGGAAGAACATCTCCTGGGGGTCACTGTGCAACCACGGAGGGATGTTCCTCAAAGAAGAACATCTCCTGTGGGTCATTGTGGGTGGTCCTTGAAGGAAAACATCTCCTGTGGGTCATTGTGGAACCAAAGAGGGATGGTCCTTGAGGAAGAACATCTCCTGGGGGTCACTGTGCAACCACGGAGGGATGTTCCTTGAAGAAGAACATCTCCTGTGGGTCATTGTGGAGCCACGGAGGGATGTTCCTTGAAGAAGAACATCTCCTGTGGGTCATTGTGGAGCCACGGAGGGATGTTCCTTGAAGAAGAACATCTCCTGTGGGTCATTGTGGAGCCACGGAGGGATGTTCCTTGAAGAAGAACATCTCCTGTGGGTCATTGTGGAGCCACGGAGGGATGTTCCTTGAAGAAGAACATCTCCTGTGGGTCATTGTGGAGCCACGGAGGGATGTTCCTTGAAGAAGAACATCTCCTGGGGGTCACTGTGGAACCACGGAGGAATGTTCCTCAAAGAAGAATATCTCCTGTGGGTCACTGTGCGACCACGGAGGGACGGTCCACACAGGAGAACATCCCCCAGGAGGTTCTTTGCCCCCCCCAGAGCTCTATTCCTCCCCCCGACCCACATTTTCCCCATTTTCTTGGGTTTTTCCCCCCAAAAAGACCATCCCACCAGGATTGTCCCCGTGTCCCCTCACCTGCAGGGGTGGCCGTGGGGACGTCCCCGTCGCCCCTCTCCTGGGGGGGACGCGGCTCCTCCCCCGGCTCCATGGCAGCGGCTGCGGGGCAAAAATGGGGGGAAAAAAGGCAATAAATGACAGGCAAAAATGGGGGAAAAAAGGCAATAAATTAGAAAAAAAAAAAAACACCACCAAAATCAACGTTTGCCTCATGTTTTTCACCAAAATCAGGTGGTTTTTCCTCACAGAAGAACATCTCCTGTGGGTCACTGTGCAACCACGGAGGGATGGTCCATGCAGGAGAACATCCCCCAGAAGGTTCTTTGCCCCCCCCCGAGCTCTATTCCTCCCCCCGACCCACATTTTCCCCATTTTCTTGGGTTTTTCCCCCCAAAAAGACCATCCCACCAGGATTGTCCCCGTGTCCCCTCACCTGCAGGGGTGGCCGTGGGGACGTCCCCGTCGCCCCTCTCCTGGGGGGGACGCGGCTCCTCCCCCGGCTCCATGGCGGCGGCTGCGGGGCAAAAATGGGGG